CACCAGTTACACAGACGGAGGGCGGTTCTGTTTGAAAACGTCGCTCTCGCTCTAGCAGCGCGCGCGTTCGCATCGAAAGAATTCCAAGACCGCACGGGTGGACCGCAAATAAACTCAAACGTGCAATCGGACCTCGGCCAGAATAATACCCCTCAAGAACATGAGACCCTCCGGCGGCCCAAACACACACAGAACATCCAGGGGTACTCTCCACAGGGCGCGCAAGAACATCCAACGAGCACGAGGAACACTAGGATACCCTCCCCGAACCGCGCTCGATCTTATACCTCGGCCCGACCGTGTTTTTTTGCCTTCGCACCGAGCTCATTCACCTCATAACAGCACACTTGCGGCAGGATGCCCTGAGCAGCTGTGCGCAAACACGATAGGGGGGCCACGGTGGGAGGCCACGACGGGGGGGATCGGGAGCTGGGCAGACGACATAGGGACGGGGGTACAAGGATAGGTGCAGGGATTTGGGGGCTATCATCTACGGATCAACAGGGGCAAGGATAGGGATAGAGGTCGGGGGGATAGAGATGGGGATATGTACGTACAAAGGACATACGATGGGAGGCACAGGGAGACAATGGGAGACAACGTCGCCTGGCGCGCACCTGCGTTTTTTCGAGATGTGTATGTATACACAAGAATGCATGCACATAAGTATTCATACGTGTAGAACCCTTACCAGAAAACAGCTGAGAACTTTCCACTATCTGAACAACTGGAGGGCAGGCCGTTGTTGAAATTTGGATCTGGCCCAGACTTCCTAGAGACTCGTGGCATCAGCGCGCGGGCGCCCGAGCACATACATGTAGCTTGGCTCTCGCCTGCTTTTATCTGCATATCGAGTGCCCGAAGCTTGACATGGCCGCCTCTTGCACGGACGGGGGGCGGCTCCCTGACAGGGTCGCGGTCTTGTTCCAGCGCCGCGCGCAGCTTTACTCTACCCTTACAGTTCTACCAACTGCGGATTGCAAAAAAACCTTTGCACGAAGGATTGCAAAAAACAGGTTTTTTTGCAATCCTTGGTGCAAAGGATTGCAAACAACCTGTTTTTTTGCAATCCTTGTTTTTTTTTTTTTTTGCAATCCTGTGTTTTTTTGCAATCCTTCGTGCAGATGGCGGCTTTCACAGAAGGAGAAACACCTGCAGAAACATACACTTTCGGACCCTCCGCGCGGATCTCTCGGGTCGGCGCCTGGACCCCCTTCCCTGGCGCGCGGGAGCGCGCCAGGGGCGGCGCCGCCAGGGTCCGCCAAAGGTGCCGATCCAGGCGATCCGCGCGGAGCTCCAACAGATTTATGTTTATGCCATTCGTCCTCTTCGAGTTCAGCCGATTTCGGTGTGCGAGCGATGACGTGCATGCCAAGCACCTCTTTGTCGGCGGCCATCTGATTGCGAGCAGCGGTAGGCCAACGCGGGGACGCAACGACGCAACTTGAGGCGCGGGCAATTTGAGGGGCAGACCGAAAGGACGAAACGCAGAGAACCGCGAATGACATCACACACGCACGCAGTTCGGGCTCCCACCGTGCAGGCCCGCGGGGCTCGGCGTAGCGCCAAGAAATGCAAGTGATGACTGTCATGGTGCACGAGGATGGGGATGTGGGAACAAAATCAACGAACATCGAATCGGAAACTCGGATCGAATCGGAGTGTGGGTCGGATCGGGTCACATCGACACGGAATCGGAATCGAATCGAACTGGCCGCGCCAGGGTGCACCACAGCGCCATGCAAGCATCGGGTCCCATCGGACCGCCCGAAAATTAGAATCCAATCAAATCGGGCCAATCAGAACCGATATCGAATCGGATCGATCGGATCGACGCAGACCCTGTGGGAGACGACGGCTTGTTGCAAGACCAATGGTTCCTCCTCCTTCTCCTCCTCCTTGGTAAGGCTTCGGGTTGCGCATAAGCAGCCTCCCCAGGTAGTCCCTGCTGGCCTCAACAGGCCCCCCGAGTAGTCCCAGCTGGCCTCAACAGGCCCCCCGAGTAGTCCAGGGTGGTCTCTTGAAGCCAGCCGGGACTACGTTTGGGGTGGGGGGGCCGTCTGAAGCCTTACCACTCCTACTCCTCCCCATCCCTCCACTCCCCGTACCCCTGGGACGGATTCCTGCGCTGTCCAAAAGGCCTGGCGCCCAAACGGCGACGGCGACCCGGTCGGCCGGGCTACAGTTGCCGGGGCGCCCGGTTTGCACAGGACACTATCGGTGCAGTCGAGCGGACGAGGATGACGAGAGCAGAATAACCTCAGTGCCATTGGGCGTTGTTAGCTCGAATGCCATGAATGTAAGGAGAGTCTCAAGCGAAACACTCGTTTTAATGGAACTTTGTCTCAAACCATTTAGCCACTGAGCATTTCAAACTGTAGGATCGTAGAGCGTGTGGCTGATCTCAAGCGAAATCCAAACTCTGAACCAAATCTGCCCCGCATCCGTGTATCAAACGAGATTCAACTTTAAAAAACGCTTTGCAGTTCATCCATTTAGCTATTGGTAGTTCGAGGCGTCCAAAACGCATACGTACATTTGAGAAACCTAACGCAACATCCATACAACACATGACAATCCATTCCGTGTAGATGTTGGTGCAGCCAAGGTTATGCACAACGGATTTTGAGGACGCCTCAAGAGAGAGCCTCTTTTTGAAAGCCGCATGACCTCCATCCGTGCCTCTCATGGGATTCAGGAGCTTCAAGATCACACGACGTGCGGAAGTTCCAGGCGGGTCTTGAAACGATTTGTCCATCACCCATGCGGCCACCGCAAGATCCTTTAGCAAACCTTGGGCGGGAACCTTCCTTGGAAACGGAATCGCCCAGCATTTAGCTGCAGGACGTTTGAGGCAACACGACCTGATGGTGCGAGTAACTCATTGACGAGACGCCCAGACCACCATACCACCACGTCTGGTGCTGCGACGAGGAGGAGCATCGACAAGCGCGTTCCACTACTCGCAAAGTGACTAGTCGCAACTGGCCCGGATCCGACATGGAGGACTTACGATACAGTCCATCGATGCCGGCGTGTGTTTTCTGGACGTTTGCAAGTAGGCACTTTGCGAGTAGTGGAGCGCGCTCGGCGAGAGCTGGAGGGGAGGGACTATGAGAACCCATGAACGGACAGAACGCCACATACCTATAGGGGGTGCCAGCCCGCGCCTCGCGACTCGATGGCGCACGGTCGGCACGGCTGCGGGCTGTCGGACCCCGAGGGGGGCTCCCGTGCGAGCGGGGATCCCCGTCCGACCAGGCACACCCACAGCCGCCCCCACCCCCAGAGTTCCTCCCCAGGACTTCGGGGGGTCGTACGAGTGCGCGCGCTAATTGTCAGCTCATGGAGGACCTGGGGGGACGGGGGGGGGAGGGCGAGCGAGCGAGCGAGCGCACGGTGACGGTCCTGCGGGACCGGCCCTGGGAGGGCGGCGCGGGAGAATAAGACCGATTACAGCCACTTCGGACTGTTCAGGAACTACTTCGGTCAGATTACAACCGCTGGAAACGGACTGATCGTAACCTGAAGGATTCCTACACAAATCTTTGTGGAGAACACTGGATTGCAACCGATCCAAGAGCTTCTGCAGAGCTTCTGCATTACTTCCGAAGAGCTTCTGCAGAGCTTCTGCAGCGCTTCTGCAAAACTTCTGCAGAGCTTCTGAAAAGCTTCAGCAGAGCTTCTGGAGAGCTTCTGCAGAGCTACCGAAGAGCTTCTGCAGAGCTTCAGCAGAGCTTCTGCAGAGCTTCTGCAGAGCTTCCGAAAGAATTTATGCAAAGCTTCTGCGGAACTTCTGCATAGTTTCTGCAGAGCTTCTTCAGAGCTTCTGCAGAGCTTCAGCAGAGCTTCTGCAGAGCTTCTGCAGAGCTTCAGAAGAGCTTCTGCAGAATTTCTGAAGAGCTTCTGCAGAGCTTCGGCAGAGCTTCCGCAGAGCTTCTGAAGAGCTTCAGCAGAGCTTATGAAGAGCTTCTGAAGACTTCAGCAAAACTCTCAGCGAGGCCTCTGAGAGGCCTCAGCGGGGCCTTTCAGAAGCTTCTCTGAGGCCTTTCAGAAGCTTCTCCGAGGCCTTCAAGAGGCCAGGGCCTCTGCTTGGACTCGGCGAGGCCTCTGAGAGGTGTCTCTGAGGCCTCAGCGACGCTTCTGAGAGGCTTCCCAGAGGCATCTGAGAGGCTTTCGAGAAGTCTTATTCTGAGCTCTATTGGGCACTCTATTCGAAGCTCTGTTGGGCGCTCTATTCGGAGCTTCATTGCGCGCTCTATCACGAGCTCTATTGCGCGCTCTATTCGGAGCTCTATTTGGGCTTGCTGTTCGGAGCTCTATTCGGCGTTTTATTGGGCGCTCTATTCCTTAACAATCTTTAGGGGTCCTCAGGAATCTGGCACTTGGTCGGTTTCCTAGGGCCCTCGAATTCGTAGGACCCGTCGGAAATCTTAAGATTCCTGAAGAGACCCTCTGAGGATTCAGGCGAATTCATCAGACGAATGGCATTGTAATCGTACGCGAAGCACATCGGAATCGTATACGAATCACATAGGAATCGTGTGCGAATCGCATAGAAATCGTATACGAATCACACAGGAATCGTATACGGACCATGGCCACGTTCGAGCTCAAATACATGTGTTTAGCTGAGATCATGATCGGCCGTCGGTGATCGGACCGATCGCAACCGTTTTTCATATTCCAATTGGGCGGCTTAAGGGAGGTCAGTGCACCACGAAACGCTCTTATGATCTCTTCCTCACTGGAAACCTTATTGCAGCGACTCGAAAACATCGCAACCACTTCGGACCGATCGCAACTGGTTGTGATCAGTCCGACGTGGTCGACGATCGGTCCGAAGTGGTTGCGATCGGTTTCCATCGCGGCGGCGCGGGGGGGCGGAGCCCTCAGGAGCCGGCCTGGGTGACTTGAGGTCGATAGGTGGAGGTGATGTGGGAAGTCGGATGCTGGAAGCTGGATGTCGGAGTGCCGAATTGGTGCAGTCTGGAGGTTGACGGGCGGAGGTGGAGGTTGAAAGTCGGACGATGGACGTCGGTCAGGAGGAGGATGATGAGGGGATGAGGAGGGGTAGGCGGGGACAGAGGGGGGCGGAGATATGGAGGAACAAGCAAAAACGGCATGAACATGAACTTTTGGAGCTCCGCGCGAATCCAGTGGATCAGCGCTAACCCCCTGGCGTCGCCTCGGGCGCCGCGCTCCGTGCGCCAGGGAGGGGGGTGCAGCCCTGATCCAGCACATCCAGGCGGAGCTCCCAAAGCTTCTGCTTATGCCGTCTTGTCCTCGTCGAGGTGAAGAAATTTCGGGCGCGGCCTGACCGACCCCTGGCAAACCATCCCCTTCCGTGACGTCACCCTCGCCATCCAAGATCCCCTCTGGCCACATACATACGTCTTGAGACGAGGCGAGGGAAGGGCATGGTTTGCTAGGGGTCGGTTATGCCGCCCCTGAGGGTTAGGAGGGGAAGGATGAGGAAGATGAGGGAAACAAGCAATGACATACATATAAAAACTCGGAGGTCCGCACGGATTTCTCGGATCGGCGTTGGACCCCCCTTTCTGGCGCGCGGAGCGCGCCAGGGGCGGCGCCGGAGGCGCCGCCAAGGGGTTTCAGCGCCGATCCGAGAAATTCGCGCGGACCTCCGAGCTTTTATGCGTATGTCATTCTTCGTTCCCCTAGGTCGATTATGCCGCCCCTGAGGGTTAGGAGGGAAAGGAGGAGGAAGATACCGACGAGGAGGGTTAGGAAGAAGGAAGGATTAGGAGAGGAGGAGCAGGAGGAGGAGGAGGAGGAGGAGGAGGAGGAGGAGGAGGAGGAGGAGGAGGAGGAGGAGGAGGAGGAGGAGGAGGAAGGAAGCCGAGGAGGACTAGGAGGAGAAAGAGGAATGAGGAGGAGGATTAGGAAGGTGCCGAGATGCTCAAGCCACGATGGTCAGGATCTCGACGGAGATGCCCGTGCTCGGCGCCCGGGTGCGGGGCTGCGCCACCCGCTTGCCCCATGAGCCCGGCGCCGCGCCGAGGACGCCGTAGTGCTCCAGTATTTCCATCTCCTGCGTCGTTGCCGTCATCGTCGTCCTCTTCCTCATCCTCCTCTCCATCCTTCTCCTCCTCCTCCTCCTCCTCCTCCTCCTCCTCCTCCTCCTCCAGGACCGCACTCCTTGTGACCCTCCTCTTCCTCCTCCTCCTTCTCCGCCTCCTCCTCCTCCTCCTCCTCCTCCTCCCTGTCCTTATCTCCTTTAGGATCTTCCTCCTCCGCCTCCTCCTCCTCCTCATTGTCCTCCTGATCCTCTTCATTATCTCCTGCGTCGGCGAATGGCTCGCAAGGCAGGGGATCTCCCTGGGAGCAGCCATGGCGGATCCCTCGTACTCCTTGGCAGATGGTGGACGTCCACTCCATGCCCCTGGGCGGAGGTGCCGAAGACCCAGAAATGCTCCAACATATACTTCTAGATCGGAGAATTTGGGGCGAGATCGGAGTGAAATGGAGAACCCCTGCCAGGACGTCAGTTTCGGTTTCGTGCTCGTGTCGCGAGTGTGGGCGGGGCGGAGCTGCGTGCGCAGGCGAGAGTAGTGATCCCGCCGCTGCTAGGGACTAACCGACGCAAGACACACTCCTCTGGCGGCGGGTGGCCTAATTGTCCAACGGTTGTCCAGTGGTTGTCCCGTGATTGTCCCGCGGTTGTCCTGTGGTTGTCCTGTGGTTGTCCCGATGGTTATCCCGACGGCTGTCCCGACGGTTGTCTCGTGGTTGTTCCGCGGTTCTCCCGATGGCTTTCCCGATGGTTGTCCCGATGGATTTCGGCAAAAAGAACTGCGCCAGGCGCCTTCGGCGCCCCGAGAGTTGCAAATATTCCATGATGCGCTGGTTGTCCCGATGATTATCACGATTGATAGAATTTGCGATCAACGCGTCGATCGTAAGATCGATTAACGATAGTGAGGTCGATAGATGGATCAATCGTGAGGTTGATGATGACGAGCGGATCTCTATGTATGTATATATATATATGTAGACACATATGTTTGTATCGTGATATCGATTGATGGATAGTGAGGTCGATCAAAGGTTGGGGGTGAGATCGAAGTGGAAAGGAGGGCCCCCCTACCAGGGAATGTTTCGGGTTCATGTCGTGCGTGCGGGCGAAGCGAAAGTGCGTGTGCGGGCGAGAGGAATGACTCCGCTGTGGCGAAGGCGGGTCAAAACAAAAGATCGCCCCTCCGGTGGGCCGGCGTGGCTGGGAGTGTCCTGCCGTGGTGTCCCGCCATGGCGCCCCGTCGGTGTCCGCGGGCGCTGGCTGGGGGTGTCCCGCCGTGGTGTCCCGTCGGTGTCTCGTCGAGGTCCCGTGGTGTCCCGTCGTCTCACATCGCCGGCTGACGTGATCGTTTTATGACGGCAAGTCAGCTGCAGCTGGTGGCCACCATCACAATCATCGCAGTTGTCCTCAGTTGGTTCTTTCCACCCCCCAACCTCCTTATCACCCGAAGGGTGGTACATATAATGATACATCGGAGGTTGGGGGGTGAGATCGCAGTGGGACGGAGACCCCCAACCGGGAAATCGTTTCGTTTCGTTCGTGTCGTGCGTGCGGGCGAGGCGAAGCTGCGTGGGCGCGCGAGAGGAGTGCACCCGCCGTTGCTAAGGCGAAATCAAGACACATTACACCTGATAAAACCCCAATAAATGGATGATTTGGAAATTGATACTATGGATCTTGAGATCGATTGTGAGATCGATAATGAGATCGATAGTGCAATCGATAGTGAGGACGATTGTAAAGTCGATCGTGAGACCGAGAGTGAAATCGATTCAATGAGATCGGTAGTGAGATCGATCGCGAGATCGCCAATGCGATCTCTAGTGAGGTCGCTTGTGATATTGATAATGGGATCGATTGTGAGACCGATCGAGAAACCGGTAATGAGATCGATGGTGAGACCGATCGATAAGAAGATCGACCAAGAACCGGGGAACCCAAGAACCTCGCCGCCCTCCGACATCGGCCCGGAACCAATGACCAGGAACCGGGGAACCCGGGAACCCGGAACCGGGAATCCAGCGTGCCACCAAAATCGACGAGGCACTTTCGCCAACTCTAGCAACATCCGCGAGGACCCCTTCAATGCAAGCACTGCTTGGGGAATGGTTCTCACCCTCCCGCCCGTCCGGCGGTGGCCCCGCGGTGTCCCGTGGTGTCCCGTGGTGTCCGCCGCTGCTAGGGCGAAGTCAAGACAAATGATCCTCCCCCTCCCGCCCGTCCGGCGATGGCTCGCGGTGTCCCGCGGTGTCCCGTGGTGTCCCGTGGTGTCTGCCGTTGCTAGGGCGAAGTCAAGACAAATGATTCTCCCCCGCCCGCCCGTCCGTCCGTCCTTCCGGCGGTGGCTCGCGGTGTCCCGTGGTGTCCCGTTGAGTGAGATCGATAGTGAGATCGACAATGAGATCGATGTGGTGCCCCGAGGTGTCCCGTGGTGTCCCAAAAAGAGAGATCGATAATGAGATCGACAGGTGTCCCGTGGTGTCCCGTTGAGTGAGATCGATAGTGAGATCGAAAGTGAGGTCGATACTGAGATCGATGTGGTGCCCCGAGGTGTCCCGTGGTTTCCCGTGGTGTCACAGTGAGTGAGGTCGATAGTGAGATCGATAGTGAGATCGACAGATGTCCAGTGGTGTCCCCTGGTGTCCTGTTGAGTGAGATCGATAGTGAGATCGTTCGTGAGATCGATGTGGTGTCCCGTGGTGTCCCGTTGAGTGAGATCGATAGTGAGATCGATTGAGTCAGATATTGGTTCCACCCCTCTACCCCCACCCACAACCTCCTTATCACCCGAAGGGTGGTCGTAGAGGTATATTGATTTTGATCGATCGGAGGTTGGGGGTGAGATGGAAATGAGGACGGAGGGCCCCCCACCAAAGAATCGGTTTCGGTTCCGGGTTCGTGTCGTGCGTGCGGGCGAGGCGAAAGTGCGTGTGCGGGCGAGAGGAATGACTCCGCTGTGGCGAAGGCGGGTCAAAACAAAAGGCCGCCCCTCCGGTGGGCCGGCGTGGCCGGGAGTGTCCTGCCGTGGTGTCCCGCTACTGTGTCCGCTGGCGGTGGCCGGGGGTGTCCCGCCGTGGTGTCCCGTCGGTGCCCCGTCGGTGTCCCGTCGGTGTCCCGTCGGTGTCCCGTCGGTGTCTCGTCGGTGTCCCGTCGGTGTCCCATGGTGTCCCGTCGCCTCACATCGCTGGCTGGTCGGATCGTGATCTGACGGCAAGTCCGCTGCAGCTGGCGGCCACCATCACAATCATCGCAGTTGTCCTCAGTTGGTTCTTTCCCCCCAATCTCCTCATCATTTGAAGGGTGGTTGTATCGGAAGTTGAGGGGTGAGATCGCAGTGGAACGGAGAGCCCCCAACTAGGAAATCGGTTTCGGTTTTGTGTTCGTGTCGTGTCGTGCGTGTGAGGCGAAGATGCGTGGGCGCGCGAGAGGAATGATGTCGCCGTGGCTGAGGGCTATGGAGCCGGTTGTCTGCCCCTCCCACCCCCGCGCGCGGTAGCCGGGGGTGTCCCGTCGGTGGCGCGGGGGTGCTCCGTCGGTGGCGCGGAGTGCCCAGTCGAAGGCGCGAGGTGTCCCGACGGTGGATCTGGGTGTCCCGCGGTGGTGTCTCGATGGTAGCTCGTGAGATCAGTCGTGAGATCGATCGCTAGATCGGCTGCGTGATCGATCGTGATTATGAGATCGATCGTGAGATCGAGAGATCGATAGTGAGATCGATAGTGAGATCGATCGCAACAGATCTTTGGCTGGGGGTGCCCCGCTGTGGCTGGGTGTGCCTCATCGTGGTGTCCCGATGGTGTCTCGTGATATCTCTTGTGAGATTGATCGTGAGATCTCTTGTGATATCGATATTAAGATCAATAGTGAGGTCGACATTGCGACCGATAGTGCGATCGATATCGAGAGCGATAGTGAGATAGATGGTGAGATCGATTGTAAAATTCGTTGTGAGATCGATATTGAGATCTGGTGTGATATCGACAAGGATAGATCGTTGTGAGACCAGGCTTGGAGAAACAAACAAGTGCGAGTCATCGTTGCTACTATCGTCGCCGCCTTTGCTATTTGCCTTTCGTAACTGTCTGGCGAAACTCGTGACCGTAATGTCCGTTGTGGTGGCATTTAATTGTCCCGCTAATGCTTCGATGATGCCCCGATCTTGCCCCGCCGGTGTCCCGATCGTACTGAACTCCACTCGCTGTGAGACTGTTCGTGAGATTTGTGAGATATATAGTGAGGCCGATGATCCGATTGATAGCGAGATCGATTGTTAGATCGGTACTGAGATTCATAATGATACCGATAGTGACACCAGTAGTGAGATCAGTCGATTGGAGTCGAATGCAGGGTCGCATTCCTGTAGTATGAGCTCCATCGATGCTGTGTCGCCTTCCTTTCAATCACCGTTATGTATTCTCAGCAGGAGCGTCATCGTGCAATGTCGCCATATCATCGCCATCACAGTCATCGCAGTTGTTGTCTGTGGGGCTTCCTTTCCCCCCAACATTCTTATCACCCGAAGGGTGGTCGTATAGGTAGGTCTATAGTGATCGGAGGTGGAGGCGAGGGGGTGAGATCGCAGTGAGACGGAGAGCCCCCCACCTGGAAATCGGTTTCGGTTTCGTGTTCGTGTCGCGCGTGCGGGCAGGCGAAGCTGCGAGGAATGAACCCTCCTCTGGCTAGGGCGCTGCCGGGCCAAAAAACCGCGCGCCCCCCCCCCCCCCTGGCCGGCGGTGGCCCGGGGTGTCCCGCCGGGGTGTCCCGCCGGGGTGTCCCGAAAATGTGCCCGTGATGTTCCGCGGTGGTGGTGTGCCTCTTCTCTGCCTAATTCAAACTTCGCGCGGCCCGCTTAGCTTCGACCGGAAGAGGTGCGCTCTCGACCCGCGGATCAAAAATGTTCCGTGGTGTCCTGTGGTATCCAGCGGTGTCCCGTGGTGTCCTGTGGCGCGGTGTCCCGTGGTGTCCCGTGAGGTCTGCAAGAATGTCCCGCCGTGGTGTCCTGTGGTGTCCTGTGGTGTCCCGCGGTTGCTCGTGCTGTCGCGTGGCGCGGTGTCCCGTGGTGTCTCGTGGTGTCCCGTGAGGTCGATGATGAGATCGGTAGTGAAGTCGGTAGTGGGATCCACAGTGCGATCGACAGTGAGACCAATAATACCGTCGACTGTGAGATCGATTCTGGAATGAATTGTCAGATCGATGGTGAGATAAATCGTGAGATCGATAGTGGGACTCATAGTGGGATCTATAATGCGATCGATCGAGGGATCGATCGTAAGATAGATTGTGAGATCGATAGTGAGGTCGACAGTGAGATCGCTAGTGAGATCAATAGTGAAAGCGATAGTGGGATCGAATGTGAAATCAATAGTGAGAGGGATCGTTAGATCGGCTGTGAGATCGATAGTCAGGTTGATTGTGAGATCGACAGTGAGATCGATAGTGAGATCTATCGTGAGATCGGTTGTGATATCGATGGTAGCATCGATATTGAGATAGATAATTAAATCGATAGTGTAATCAATTGTGCGATCGATAGTCATATCGATTGTGATAAGGGTAATGAGATCGATTGCGAGATCGATAGTGGGATCAATTGTGAGATCGTTTGCGATATCGATAGTGATATCGATGGAGTGGGATCGATAGTGAGATCGATAGTGAAATCGACCGAGTGAGATGTTGGTTCCTGCCCCTCGAACCTCCTTATCACCCGAAGGGTGGTCGTAAGGTATCGAAATTTAGATCGTGAGCTCGATAGTGAGATCGATCGATAGCTGGATCGACGAACCTGAGAATAGTGAGATCGGTGGATCTATAGTGGGGCCGATAGGAAATGAGACCGATCGAGGTTGTTCGATGGATGGAGACGGTTGTCCCGATTGTTGTCTCGTCGTTCGTTCCATCCCACAACCTTCTTATCGGCCTTCGGCTGGTCTTGTAGGTGTGCGTGCATGTGTATGCACGTGTAGGTAAATACATATTTTCGCCACCGTGCCCTTGAGGCACGAGGTGCCATGTCCGCAAATCCCATGTTGGATCCCCTGGAGCCTCAGTCGCCGATGAAGATTCTTGAATGGGCCCGGACCCACGATTGCCAAATCGGCTGGGGCGAGTTGCGTGGCCCCTGGGGCCCGGGGCGTCTTCTGGCATGACTTTTTCGGGCCCAGACTGGCCAAGAGGGCCTCAAGAGGCCCCCAGGACGGTGCAAGAGAGCCCCGAATCGCCGCACGATCGGTCCAAGACGCCCAGGACGGTCCCAGCACGGCCCAAACAGCCCTCGAGACGCCCAAGAAAGCCCCAAGAGCCTTCCTAAGAGGGCCCCGAGAGGTCAAACACATTGATTTTTATACGTTTTCAATGTTTTTTCGTTTTCTCAAGCTTTCGAGACTCCGATGCTCTTCCGAGACAGCCCAAAGAGGCCCCCTTACCTTCGATGGCCATAAGACGGCCAAAGAGGCGCCCAAGGCGACCCAAGAGGGCCCCAAGACGGCCCCAATAGGGGGAACACGAACCGACAATCCGAGCCTTCCACCCCAAGATGCGCCCAGGAGGCCCCAAGAGGCCCCCAAGAGGCCCCAGCAGCTCCCAAGAGGCCCCCACAACGCCCCCAAGAGGTCCAAAAGAGACCCAAAAGACCTCAAACAGCCGCCCAAAGCCTCAAAACTGTCTCCAGGATGCCCCCGAGAGGCTTCCACGAGATCCGAACGAACATCCAAGAGGCCCCAGGCCCACAACCTAGGCACCGTGGCGGGATGAGCCGAAGGCATTTTTCTTTTGTTTCTTCTTCTCTCCTCTCTCTCTCTCTCTCTTTCTCTTGTATGTATGTGTATGTATATACACTTACGTATTCGGGCCGCCGCCCATATCCTTGGCCCCTGGGCATCCTGGACGCCCCTGAAGGAAGTCCCTGGGGATTCTGGGGCTCCTGGACGTACCTGCCAGGCCTGGGCAACGGGCCCGAAGCAGGCATCACGGCGCCCAACCAGCCCCACGATCGCTCCGAGCGATGGGAGGGGGAAATCCGACGTGGCGAGACATGCAACATCGCGAAACATCACGTCCGGAGCCCCAGACCCTGTGTTTCTGCCGCATGCCTCGAGCCGCGTCGACCTGTGCAGGTCCCGGGGCCCGAAGCCCGGGCGACGGCGCCCCTTGTGAAGAGATTGCAAAAGGCCACGACTTCGGGGTCGCCCAGCCCCCCCCCCCCGCCGTCTCGGGGCCCGCGGCCTGGCTCGGCGCCGAGGACGCCGTGAGACTCCAGCAGGGCCAGCGCCGACTGCCAGGACGGGTCGCGGCGCGAGGGCGCGGGGGCGCAGGCCGCAGCGGCCGCCGCCTCGGCAGCGGCCTCGGCCAGGCCGTCCCGTGCGGCGGCGCGGCGGAGGGATCCCTGCGCGGCCGCGGGGGCGCCGCCCTTCGTCTTGGGGGCGGGGCAGATCCACACGAGGGCCCGGGGCAGCACCGCCCAGCCGAAGATCATGGAGCAGGTCACCACGAGCAGCTGCAGCACCTCCGGCATCACTGGCAGGGCTGATGGGGCCCAGTCGGGGACGTGCTTGAGGGCCTCGGACACGAGGCCGCTTGTAGTGTATGGATCGAGGACAAAGGACATCTGCATGAGCGACGCCATGCCGATTGCTTGATACGTATGAAGAATAAGTCCTAAGACAGGTGAAGCTGATGGATTGTCAGAATGACACAAAAGAAGCCTGTTTACGTGGGCGATGCCGACACGGTCTGAGCCAAACGTGGAGTCTCCGGCACAGCGTAGCTTTCTCCACCTTTGCGTTGCCTTGGTTCGGACGAAACCTGCAGAAAAGGGAGGGCGGAGTGGGGAAAGTGACTGTGAGGAGGAAGAGGGCGCTGGGCAGAAGCTGTTCGGAACATGTATTTCCCATGCCCATCTTTAATAATCTGCGCTGCCTGATTTACAGCGTCCTCGCTTGTAACGAAGCCAGCCGAAAGAAGCTTTTTGCCAGTCTGCCAAGCTACGCAAACATTGATAGCTCACCCTTCTCCTCATCGAACTCCTCCCCCGCCTCCTGATAGCAACGTTTGCAACATGGGGTGTGTGAATGTAGACAGCCCGCTTGCGCGAGATTCTGAATTGAATTCAGAATCTCGCGGGGGCCGAACTTGCCTGGCCATCTCTGGATGGGCCCTCCGCGCCGTGTGGACATGCCCCCCCCCCCCCCTCCCACCCCACAGGCTCTTCAATCGGTGGGGCCCACGTTGTCCTCATCACTGAACTCATGCACCCCCAGATTCCCAGCGTCCTCGCTCCACATGAAGCTCGGGCCTGCCACGTCCTTGCCCATCTGGAACCGAGGCAGAGTCGGCATGTAGACGGCCCACTTGGACTGCTCGCCTCTGCATTGGGGGGGCAGGGAGGGGAGGAGCGGGATGGAGCGAGGCAGGGAAGGAATGCGGAGGGCGAGGGGGAGCGAGGGTGGTATGGGGTGGATCACAGGGATGGCTACGAGCCTTGCTCTGGGCAGATCGACCGGAGCTCGAACCTGGGAGACTGCTGGCGCCTTCCATTTGTCGGAGGCATGCCAAAAATACTCCGAGACAAAGGTACTCCAGATTTCGTAATAAAAGGGAGGGGGTCTGGACCCTCCAAGACAAGCCATTTCAGACCTCCCCCGTGGGAGAACCCTCCAAAACATCGTCCCCAGACCCCCCAGGCCCTCCAAGATAGCCTGGAAGAGACCCCCCCCGAAATGAGACCCCCCTCCCTTTATTACGAAATCTGGAGTATGCAGACTTATTCGCAGTGGGCACCTGGTACCTGGTCTGGTGGGGCTTCACTTCGGAAGCCAGCACTCCCGCTCGTACCGCTCGCACTTGTAGGCTGTAGGGCATCGCTGTGTTACGGGAGGCGTGGAGAAACAACAGTGGTCAACGGTGCAAGTAAACGGCGGGAAGAGAAGGACAACAACGAACATGATAATAATGGAGCAGAGGGAGATGTCAATCCGCCGACCCCCGCTTGCCAGGGGTGAGAAGGCGTGTGAGATGATTTGCTGTTCCCTCTCCCCCTTCCACCTCCCCCAGGGTCCAAAATCCAGTTACAGGGTGGGTGGGGGGTTGGGTGGGTGGGTGGGTGGGTGGGTGGGAGGGGGGGGGGGGGCGGGGGGTGTATGGGGGCTCCTCGGCGCACCCCAAAAAACTCTGGAGCTTCCAAATCTGCCTTCCGTGGCCTCGAAGACGTTCCAAGACGGTCCCGAATCGCGGAACGAGTGGCGCAAGACGCATACAATGGCTCCAAAACGCCCCAAGAGCCTTCCTAAGAGGGCCCCGATAGGGTAGAATCAGCGGTTTCCCGAAGGTTCCCCAAACAGTGCTTGCACTTAGGGATTCTTACTTGGGATGACCATCTCGGGGTGAGTGGCGGCTTTTGCAGGACGTGCCGCCCGTCGCCGCCGTCGCCGTCGCCGTCGCCGTCGCCACCGCTCGGGGCGAGTGGCGGCTTTTGCGGGCGGTGCCGCCCGTTGCCGTCGTCGCCGTCGCCGCAGCTCAGGGCGAGTGGCGGCTATTGCGGGCGGTGCCGCCCGTCGCCGCCGTCGCCGTCGCATAGATTGCACCACATACATTATCCTTTCTGAAACAAATAAATTCTACCACCCTCCCCCCCAGGACTTATACACCCCCCAGGAACCGATGTAAAACACACAAGATTCTGACCCAATGGCCATCCTACCTGTGAGTTCACACTATCCCAGACAAGCCGGTATTGGTCCCCCTCGCCATCCTCTGCAAAAACAAACTATGCGCGCACACTCGTTAATAAAAATCATAAGTTTTCAAAAACCCCTTGCAACAAATGGGACGAATTGCACACTCGCGCGTCGTCGCGCGCGCATGCCGAAATCCTTCAATTACTCCGACGGTAGGACCCCGCATGAGAATCTGTTTAGCTTGCCTGGGGATCTCCTCCTGCCCCCTCCCTTCTCCCACCTATTCCTGCCTTATCCTTCTCCTCCTGCCTGCTCCTCATCCTGCCTCAACCCCTGCCCCCTCCTCCTCTTGCCTCCTCCACCACCTCCTCCTCCTTTTCCTCCTCCTCGTTCTGCCTCCTCCCGCAATTCCCCCTGTTCCCCCTGTTCCCCCTGCCTCCTGCGTCCTCCTCCTCCTGCTTTCCCTCTCCCTCCTCCTCCTCTTCCTCCTCCTCCTCCTCTTCCTCCTCCCCTCTCCCGCCTCCTCCTCTCCCTCTCCCTCCTCCACCTACTCCTCCTCGTCTCCATCTTCCTCCCCCTCCTCCTCTCCCTCCTCCTCCTGCCTCCTCCTTAGGCCTCCTACCTCCTCCTGGGGCCTCTTGGGGCCTCTTGGAGCCTTCTGGGCCTCCCGGGACATCCTGGGGCCTCGTAAGGCACTCCTCTTCCTCCTTGTCCTCCCGGGACATCCTTCTCGCCCTCTGCCTCCTCCTCCTCTTCCTCCTTCTTTTTCTCGTCCTGCATCCTCCTTCCTCCTTCGTCGTCGTCGTCGTCCTCCTCCTCCTCCTCCTCTCCTCGTCCTCCTCGTGTGGAACACGACCCAGAGAAAGCGCACGACGTGCGTCCCAAAAGAGATACGCGCCGGAGGACGAACCAGAAGAAGCGCGCGCCGGAGGACGACCCAGAGGACGACCCGGAGGAAGCACGGGAGGTGCGGGCCCCATAAGTAAAGAGCTCCCGTCTGAGACTTCCTCGCAATTTAATCACAAACGAAGCTCCCGCAGGATACTTCCCCCATGTTCAAGCTCCAGGAGCCCAAACGTGGCGACAGTTGCAAGATTCCAATGACCCGCCTCGGATTAAAAACATGAGCTGCAAGCCTCATAGGGAGGGGGCTCCCGCCTGAGACTTCCTCGCAATTTACTCACAGATGAGGCTGTCGCCTGATAGTTACTCCATATTCAGGCCTCAGGAGCCCAAAACTGAAGACAGTTGCAAGATTCCGATGACCCGCCTCGGATTATAAAAACATAAGCTGCGGGCCCCATAGGGAGGGGGCCCCCGCCTGAGCTTCGCAATTCACTCACGGACGAGGCTCTGGCGTGATACTTCGTCCATATTCAGGCCTCACGAGCCCAAAAGTGATGACAGCTACTAAATTCCGATGGCCCGCCTCGGATTAAAAACATGAGCTGCGGGCCCCATAAGGAGGGGGCTCCCGGCAATTCACTCACGGACGAGGCTCTCGCCTGGTACTTCCTCCATGTTCAGGCCTCAGGAGCCCCAAAATGACGACAGTTGCAAGATTCCGATGACCTGCCTCGGATTAAAAACATGAGCTGCGGGCCCCAAAGGGAGGGGGATCCCGCGTGAGATTTCTTCGCAATTCACTCGCGGACGAGGCTCTGGCGTGATACTTCGTCCATATTCAGGCCTCAGGAACCCCCAAATGACGACAATTGCAAGGTTCCGATGACCCGCCTCGGATTATAAAAACATAAGCTGCAGGCCCCATGGGGAGGGGGCTCCCGCCTGAGACTTCCTCGCGTTTCATTCACAGACGAGGCTCTCGCCTCATACTTCCTCCATATTTCGGCCTTAGGAACCCAAAAGTGACGACAGTTGCAAGATTCCGATGGCCCGCCTCGGATAAAAAACGTGAGCTGCGGGCCCCATAGGGAGGGGGCTCCTGCCTGAGACGTCCTCGCAATTCACTCACAGACGAGGCTCCCGCCTGATACTTCATCCATACTCAAGCCTCAGGGGCCCAAAAGTGACGGCAGTTGCAGGACTCCGATGACCCGCCGATGACTCCGTGACAACTCCGAATGAACATCATGATGATCATGATGATCATGATCATGATGATGATGATGATGATGATGATGATTATGATTATGATTATGATGATGATGATGATGATGATGATGATGATGATGATGATGATGATGATGATGATGATGATGATGATGATGATGATGAGTGTGTGAGTGAGTCAGTGGGCGGGTAGGTGGGTGAGTGCGTGGGTAAGTGCGTGAGTGCATGATGATGATGAGGTGTGTGAGTGAGTGCGTGAGTGGGTGAGTGAATGGGTAAATGAGTGAGTAATGAGTATGTGAGTGAGTGTGCCGGTGGGTGAGTGCGTGGGTGACTGAGTGAATATGGGTGATGATGTGTGTGAACAATTGAGTAAGTGAGTGTGTGATGGGAGAAGAAGAAAGGGTATGTTCTCTTTCTTGTTCCTGCCGGTGGTGTTCGGAAGAAAACAAGAACCCCACTTTCGATGTGGGGAAAAACTTTCGGCTTCGGAAGGATTTCAAAATCGAGTGTCCAAAATGGGCAGCAGCTCTGGGGAGCGTGGGAGGCACCACTGGGCGGGTCAAATCAATAGGTGCCAGTCGAGCACGCGTCCTACAATATCTGTGGGGATACGGTCGTTGCAGGCCTAGCTCTTGACCCTTGCAACTGAAAGCAGTAAGGCCGACCAAAAGTATGCGGAAGGGCTTGGGGCCCTCCCTCTCCACAACTACTCAATGTACGTACTACTCCCCTCTCTCCCCGGATTCTTTGTGAGCGGGGCGCCATTGTCTTCATGTATTATTCTCCCTCTCACACGCACAAGATTTCAATGATTGGTTTATCATATGGTTTGCTCCACTCAGGACGTTTTCGGTCTTTCAAAATGGTGCTTCTGCTGCATGTTCAAGATTGGCACTTTGCTCCCGTCGTTCAGAAATGGCGCTCTCGCCTCAGTGGGCCACATTTCTCGATCATATCCCTTCCTCGTCGTTGTCGCCACCCTTATTTCCCATCTTACGCCTTCCCCTGGTCAGCCTGGTCCTCCTGCTCTTACTCCTGCTCCTGCTGCTGCTGCTGCTGTTCCTCCTCTCTTTCCTCATCTTCCTCTTCCTCCTGCCCATACTCCTGCTCTTCCTCTTCCTCCTGCCCATACTCATATTGCACAGCCCTCCTGTGTGATTGCGCATCGCACGATAGGGGCCATCGCAATGGGATGGGTTGGAGAACGGAATGTAAGGTACTGCGCGCGCGCACATCACTTGCCTCTGCTCCTCTCCTCTCCTCTTCCCCTCCCTTCCCATCCTCGCCCCCCCCGTCCTGCTTTCGCGCCATTGTGCGCCCGTCTGGTGCATGGGACCGCGGTTCTGGGCCAGTGTGGTGCTCGCACATGCAATCGCTGGGTGGGGGTAGGCAGGCAGGGGGAAGAGGAGGGGGGAGGAAAGGGGGAGTGGTTGGGAACGGTAAACCACAACATGATATGGGACACCGTCCAATGGTTGTGGGCTTGAAGACACTGAGAATGTAGACTTCTTCTCCGCTTTGTCCCGCCTTTAACAAAGCGCTCGTGGACCAGCAGCAATGCGATGGCCGTGCGGTCCATCAGCTCCTCAATCTCGTCGCCCCAGAGCTCTATTGCCTCGCCGTCTCGAGCTATCTCTCCTCTCCTTTACCTCCCCGTTCCAATCTCTGTTTCTCTCTCGCTCCATAAACCCCTCCATCTCCATCTGTCTGTCCAATGTCAGGCCCCTTCCACATTTTTTTGTTTTTCTGCCTGGCAGTCTCTGTGTCTGTCTCTGCTTCTGTTTCTCCCTTTCTTTCTTTCTCGCTCTGTCTCTCTGTCTCTCTCTTTCCCTCTCTGTCTCTATTTCCCCTAGCCGCCTTGTCACTAATGGCTCTATATAGTGCCTCTAAGGAACGAGTAGGTGCTTCACTGGATCCGGAATCGGCTGGGCGACGCACGTTTGCCCCCGTTTGCTCCCGTTGGCTCCCGTCCCCTGTTGGCCTCCGTTGGCTTCCGTTGGCTCCCGTCGGGCTGTTCGTGTCAGAAGTAGCATTCGCACTCGTATGCTTATGAGCAGTAGTAACAGTGATACTGACGTTCGTAGGTGTAGTAGTCTTAATGATAGTCGTAGACGTCGGGCTTGCAGTGATCGTAAACATATTCATAACAAATTCGTTTTCGCAAAGTCAGTCATAACCATCGTACTTCGTATTATCATGGCATAATTAGACTGACCGTGCCAATGTCATCCTTCACATCCGTGTCGTTTTTTCTTGCTACTCGGGGGAGTACCCGTATGCGTCGTCGTACGAATGCAATTTATTGAGTGGTAATTCATATTGTGAGCAATAAGCGTAGCAATCATAGTAATACAAATAGTGAGAGAGCGCGCCCACAGGGCCCGAGCAAAGGGGAGGGGGGGCTAGGCTTAAGCTACCCCCCCCCTCCCTTGAGCCGCCCTTGTTGGAAGCACCCCACCCCCTCCCCCCCTTTTTTTGCAAGGGGGGGGGGGGCTTACAGCTACCCCCCCCCTCCCCCCTTGGGCCCTCCCCGGAAGCTAACCCCCCCCCTCCCCTCCTTTTTAAAGGGGGGGGTGCTTAAGCTACCCCCCCACTCCCTTGGCGCTGCCCTGCTGGAAGCTACCCCCCCCCCCCTCCTTTCGTGCAAAGGGGGGGGGGGGTGCTTGGAAGCTACCCACCCCCTCCCCCCTTTGGCCGCCCCGGAAGCTCCCCCCCCCCCCCCCCTACCCCCCTTTCCAAAGGGAGGGGGGTGCTTAAGCTACCCCCCCCCGCTACCCTCCCCCCCCTCTCCCCTTTGTGCCAAAGGGGGGGGGGGCTTGGAAGCCCCGGCCCCCTTTGGCCGCCCGGCCCCCGGAGCCTCCGCCCTCCCTTTCGCCGACGATCCAAAATGAACAATCCACGATCGAGGATGGACGATCGACGATCAACGATCGACGATCGAAAATCCCAATCGAATCGCTTGCAATCGATTGCACTCCATTCCACTGCAATCCCCCTCCCCACCTCCCTCCGCTCCCTCCCCTCCCTCCACACCCTTCGTTCCATCTCCTCCCTCCCCTCCCTCTCCTCCCCTCCCTCCCTTCCGTCCTGTCCCTCCCCTGCAATCCAATCGATTGAATCGATTGCAATTCAACCGATTGCAATCCAATCGATTGCAATCCAATGGATTGCAATCGAATCGTTTGCAATCCAATGGATTGCAATCGATTGCAACGCAAGTGTATCATTCAACTCGTCCCGTGCCAACGCCCGGGAACGAAAAATTACCCTGGCGACGTACCCAACCCCTGCGCAAACGCGGGGCGCAAATAGTTTAGGACACTTTATAAGGGGGGCGATGACGGAGCGAGGGTTACATATGTCTGCAGACGGAATTCGGGAGACTCGCAGGACACTGGCTTCAGGACAAGGACTAGATAAAGCTGATTAGTTGCAATCCCTGAGCAACCCTAGCCACTTCGAAAGCGGGGATCTCAGATCGCAGCCCCCCAGGGATGGCGAGGTCTAATTTGGGTCCGCGCGTGGCGTCACTGTGCTGGGCCCCCCAGCAGGCCTCGAAAGTGGCGACAGTTTCACAGATCGCAGCCCCCCAGGGATGGCGAGGTCTAATTTGGGTCCGCCGTGGCGTCACTGTGCTGGGCCCCCCAGCAGGCCTCGAAAGTGGCGACAGTTTCACAGATCGCAGCCCCCCAGGGATGGCGAGGTCTAATTTGGGTCCGCCCGTGGCGTCACTGTGCTGGGCCCCCCAGCAGGCCTCGAAAGTGGCGACAGTTTCACAGATCGCAGCCCCCCAGGGATGGCGAGGTCTAATTTGGGTCCGCCCGTGGCGTCACTGTGCTGGGCCCCCCAGCAGGCCTCGAAAGTGGCGACAGTTTCACAGATCGCAGCCCCCCAGGGATGGCGAGGTCTAATTTGGGTCCGCCGTGGCGTCACTGTGCTGGGCCCCCCAGCAGGCCTCGAAAGTGGCGACAGTTTCACAGATCGCAGCCCCCCAGGGATGGCGAGGTCTAATTTGGGTCCGCCCGTGGCGTCACTGTGCTGGGCCCCCCAGCAGGCCTCGAAAGTGGCGACAGTTTCACAGATCGCAGCCCCCCAGGGATGGCGAGGTCTAATTTGGGTCCGCCCGTGGCGTCACTGTGCTGGGCCCCCCAGCAGGCCTCGAAAGTGGCGACAGTTTCACAGATCGCAGCCCCCCAGGGATGGCGAGGTCTAATTTGGGTCCGCCCGTGGCGTCACTGTGCTGGGCCCCCCAGCAGGCCTCGAAAGTGGCGACAGTTTCACAGATCGCAGCCCCCCGCAGGCAAGACAGGAGGAGGCAAGAGGGAGACGGGACGGGAAGGAGGAAGTGGAGACAACACTGCTCTATTCAAAACGAATGCCCAACCAAGGAGGGTTGGGAAAAATACTATTCCCCCCCGAAAATTGCACGAAGTGGAATTCTGAGAACGTCAGCCCGCCGGGTTTGGCAGTGTTCGTGTAAGACGGCGGCCAGCTGGGGGAGGAGGAGGCGGAGGATGGGGGAGGCGGAGGGGGAGGAGGAGGAGGAGGAGGAGGAGGAGGAGGAGGAAGAGGAGGAGGAGGATGAGGATGAGGATGAGGAGGAGGAGGAGAAGGTCCGTAGCCATTTTGGCTCATGCCGCGCGCCCCAACATCTTGGCTCTATGTGCTAGCTCATGGCGCCGGATGCAGGGTGCAAAATGGCTGCGGGACGCACCT